CATGAAGGACCCAATAAATATAGATCAATGAAAGCATAGTTAATTTCGATGAAAGGCAAGAATATTTTCTACACCAACTTGAGCCAATCAGGAGCGAGCAATGAAGCCAGGTTCTGATTATATATATGACAAACAGCTTTTTGCACATTATGATTCTGAGATCAATATGGTACCGATTATGCTCCTAATTGGCCATTCCCCATTTCAGACCACATCCATGTCATTCCCTAAATTGTCATTTCTTTGTTAGATGGTTATAAATGAGAAGCACATTAATATGGATGCAACTCAAACAAAGAAAATGATTCTCAAGAGAATGACATGAGAAAACATTACGCCCAAGGGAAAAAAATCTATTTTTACTCTACAAACGATTTGTTAGCATTATAAAGTGGCTCCAGTGCACGCGCAGTAGAAGGTCCATCACCCAATTCTTAAGGGACTTCTAACAGGCAATGTTTTTTTTTTGTCAATAGCTCAAATGTTGTGGTGCGAAAAACAGAGAGGACTACAAGGAGAGCAGATGGCGCAAGGAACTGAACCCCAACAAGCTAGTACCTCTCAGCTGCTGCATCGAGAATGCGAACAAAACGTCTTGTTATAAGGATTCCTCTTACGATCAAGTTTACGAAAAGGTAATGTGTGAGATGGAGAGCACACCATATACCCGTGAAAGGAAACCAACGATTTCTAATAGTCCCTTTTCTCATTGATGGTTTTCAACCATTCCCAAGAGAATTGACACGGCGGCCATGTTGGAGGATATAAAAAAGAATTCATTGACAATTCTTTTGTTAAGTTCCTCCAACATGGCCGCCGTGAAAACCATCAATTCTGTAAATACCGTTGTGTTGTGTCACTAAAGACTCCTGCACAAAGCTTTGCCTCGCTTAAAAGCATATCATTTGCAAATTAGCAAATCGAGTTCCCTTTTCTGTGGTCTGTACTCTTATTGAACATGGAATGGCATCAGCATATGATCCAAACTCAAGTGGAAACAAGAGCGTAGCAAGATCTGGGATGGACGATCTGAGATATAGCGGAATTTTTGTCTGACTTTTTTTTGTCACATTTCAAAGATCATGCTTTATATTTCAATGTAAAAGGAAGCTACGGTGTTCGGCTGTGAATACATCACATTTTGCAGCGTGTTACTCAGTTTTAGATCTGCGACCGACAACGTTTTTTGAAATAGGCTTATGCAGCCAGTGCCATGTTTAGTTACGTTCGCTTGATGTTTAGTTAAGGCGCCTAGATGCGTTTATTTGTCCTTTATTGGAAGGAAATTCCATGTGAACTCACTAAATCCCGCAAGATCTTTTTACCAATCACCGATTACCCGCGACGGATTGAACCCAAGCGTGGTTGAGTTGAAATTCTTGCGAATAAAAGTCATTTAACGAAGCAAAAACCAAGTTTAAGTGATAAGAATAGGGGATGCCCTTTCTTGAACCCCAACAGCCGGTGTATGGAAACATTTTAATTCTAACGGCGTTTGGTCTGCTATAAGCCATTGAGGAAAAAATTGGGTCGATTGGATGTTGCAGCGCATAATTGTCTTAGGGGACATATTTCCAAAATGGCGTCTATTTCGTACCCTAAAACAGCCCCAGATGCACTGCCATGCCATATCAACCCAGTCTTTACCTCCACCTAGGAATAGATTATCCTGTGAGTATGAACCATGATTTCCCTCCGCAGTTGGCGACATTACTAAGTCGTTCATAACATATCTGTTTGATTCCAGGGATGTATTTCTGAGCTTAAAACATTTGCAGATAACCACATGGTTCTGATAGGAGCCATTGCTGCAGGGATATCGGGTATACAGGTATGTAAGACTCATCATCATCATCATATCATCATCATCATATCACCATAATATCATCATCATCAATATAATCACGTCATCACATCATCACATCACCATCATCACATCATCATCATCACTATTATTACATCATCACCATCATCATCATTACCACCATCCTCATCATTATCGCCATCATCATCATTACCACCATCCTCATCATTATCACCATCATCATCACATCATCATCATCACAACATCATCATCACTATTATTGCATCATCACCATCATCATCATTACCATCCTCATCATTATCACCATCATCATCATTACCACCATCCTCATCATTATCACCATCATCATCACATCATCATCATCACAACATCATCATCACTATTATTGCATCATCACCATCATCATCATTACCATCCTCATCATTATCACCATCATCATCATTACCATCCTCATCATTATCACCATCATCATCATCATCATCATTACCATAATCATCACCATCATCACTATTAATGCATTATAATTACCATCATCATCATCATCACCATTATCATATCATCATTATCACCATCATCATCATTACCATTATCATATCATCATCATCACTAGTATCACACCATCATCATCACCATCATCATCATCATCATCATCATTACCACCATGTCACCACCATCATCACCATCATCATTACCACCATGTCACCATCATCATCATCATCATGTCACCATCACCATCATCATCACCATCATCATCACCATCATCATATCATTTTCAGGCTCCTTACTTTTTACCACTCATCATCATCAGTGTGATCGCGTCGTATACTAGTAATAATTTTAATTGTTTTCTCTTCATATATTGTTTAAAAGGTTTAATTTCTTTAATTTGCCTATTAACTTCTTTCATTTCCCTCGTTTGTTTCAGTTATTTGGGATGGTATTCGCGTGTTGCCTATTCTGTTCTATCGTGGACTGAAGACATATTGTATATCACTGACCTCAAACTACAACAGTTAGTTATCTTGCTCGTCGACCTGAAGAACAAACCAAAACTCTCCAGAATCATAGCCATTGGTTCACCTTAACTGAGGAGTTTCTTGGTTCCTCTGTTCGTAGATAACCTAGGTCCAGAATAGCTTACGAGTTCAGAAATTGTATTAATTGCAATCACATGCTACAACAATCTCTTATCGTCATCGTTGCTTCCACATATGTCAAAGTTTTCCGTTGCTATATCCTTTATTTGAATAGGATCCCTATTTGAAATACATCTCCACACACACACACACACACCTATATAAAGAGGATATTACCTTATTTCAATGTAAATGTGCACAACACACACGTATATATACATAATACCTTCTCGATGTAAATGTACACAAGTTAAGAACAAAAGACTAGAAGCACTACGTTTCTGCTAAGTGCCGCTAACCTCAAAATGAAGCTCGACGTCTGGCGTTTTCCGTCAAACTTTCAACATTAGAGACTTTTAGCAAGACGTTCTTGCGAGCTCTGCAAACCTCAAACTACAGTTCGACTTCCAGCGTTTTCCGTCAAACTGTCGACATGTAGCAAGGCGTCATAACGAAGTTGTAGCTGGACGAGCCGCCATATTGAATTTTATGGATGCTGACTGTTTCTCTGTGTTTGCGGGACTGTTTCTGAGCCTGATCCCTAGAGGTTAGTGATGAACCTGATGCTAAAGGTCTCTAATACCCAGAAAATAATACTCTCGTTTCAATGCTTCTTGGAATCTACGACCGAGAATCACTGAAGGGAGTTAGAAGCCCTCTGGAACTCAGGGTCTGTTAGCTTCCATTTTGTATAGAATATTCATGTGTTGCAGTGAAGGTCCATGGGATTTCAAAGTGTTTGTATTCACTACTAAACGGTTCACTAGTCAAACACCCTAGCGAGGTAACAAGGTAGTTTCTAAGAATTATTCAAACTCATGAATAATTAATGATCATTCAGACCTATCAGGTCCTTCAAATCCATCACGTGCATGGATCTTAATACCTGATAATAGTTCAACATGGATATCTTTATATAAAGATTTTGAAATTTTTTATAAAGGACCAAAAGAGTACAAGAGCAGGTCACGAATAAGGACCCTAAATACTCATTAATTATTCATGAAGTTTTGAAAGTGTTCAATAAACTTGCAGATCGTGTTTTATCAGATCTAAAACCACGAGGCGTAAGCCTGATAAAACACGATCTCGTTTTTAAACTATACTTTAAACTTAAACTCTTAGAGTCTTTTATCCTTATAGACTATATTAATCAATAAAATTGCATGAGCTGTTATTAATCTCGCTTTATGATTGGTTGGGGGCGCGTGCTCTATGCGCGAGGACTGGGAAATATCTTTTTGGGTAGATGATGCAGTAGTCGCAGTACCATATGAACAGAAAATGACTATGTGGAGCAAAAGATCTAGTAAGTCAACTTTTCCCAGGCAGCATTTCAATCCAGAAAAATACACTCGATTTTTTTTTCTTTTCGAAATTTACCAATGAATCGTTAATGCTGAATATGAGCAAAGAGCAATAAAGTATAGTCACTGTTTCCTAAAAAAATAGCAGTGCAAAATAACTTTACTGTATGACCATTCCCTAAAGGTGCATACACACGGTGCAAGATTGCCACAGCATTGCACGCAACAAATTTGAACCGGGTTGACTACACACGTTGCAACAAAATCACGCAACATTGCTTGTGTCAGCGCGCTATGCTAAGAACTTAGGCCACTGGTAATACAATTGTTGAAAGCAGATTGGTTCAAAATGTTGCAGGCTATGTTGCAGCCGTGTTCACGATGGAATTTGTTACGCACAATTGCAAGAGTAGAGCTCGATTCAACTTCAGATTTGTTTCATGCAACGCTGCGTGCAACAAGTTTTTAGGGGTAGAGGGTAGACACGCTACAACAGTCCTGTTGTGTGCAATGTTAAGCGTTGCATGCAATGTTTCACAGGGTGTCTTGCAAATGACAGCTTAAGGTGGCTGACTACTCTTCACCATTCGATTTGAGCCCACGATGTGCGCGCGCTCAAAAACCGCTGAATACTGATCTTCACGATTTTATTGAAGAACCATACACGTTTTGAACTTCAGAAGGGCAAAACCCTCAAATTTTGCACGGGATTCTATATTTGTTTAGTTATTTTCCAGAATAACAGGTAATATTCCATTATTTTTGAAAGTTTAAGACAATCCTGTTTATTAGAACAATGTTAAAAATCGTTCTGTTTTTTTTGTGCTCAACTTTTGCGATAACTTGCACACCATACAACCTGAACAAAAAAAGTTTTTCCATTGTCTACAATAGTTTATT